ATGGATTTCTCCCAAACATCCTCGGCACAATCGCCGGAACGGCTCAAAACTAGGGGTAATTTAATTTGAAATAGATAAGGGGGTGGAGATAGACTGAAGTGGTGTAGTATCAATGAGTCAAATGATAGCACACAAATACGCCTTGGGGGACATGCCCTGATCTCTTACGCTCGCAAGATCCCAACCTGTTGCGCTTGGTCTTGACGGCGCCCATCCAGTAGAGAATGAACCCTTATCTTCATTGCCTTTGGTAGAGGACCGACTGTTCTACTATTGAACGACTTGGATGGTCAACCGAAGTCTTCAGTGTTTCTTGCCAATATTGCCGAATGATGAACAACACTGTAAGAAGTCCTTATTGATAATTCTCCTCACCTTCATGTATATAAATCTTTGAGCGAGACTCTTGAATTATTAGCGGTCGGTTAGCTTTTTTGGCGATTGATATCAAAATGGAAATAATACGTGGTTCATTTTTGTAATGAAAAACTTAAAGCTTACTTGTCGTAGTCTTGTAGCAAGGAGTGCAACAAACCTTGTTTTCCTAATGTGGTACTGAATTGGATCGGTTCCTATAACTACAATTATTATACATTTTTTGTCAACCACTCTAACACCCTGTCTTACCTTACGGAACATGCTTAAACCGTGCAGTCCGAAATCACAGTTTTGAAAGACCCACTTCATTCCACATCACTCAATTCACTCCGCAGTACTCACTCTACTCCATTAACCTACCCACCAACTTTCTGCCTTATCTATGAGAAGGAAGTGTAGAATAGAGCTAAGCCCTCCATATCACTTCTTTATCGTAATCATAAAGTTTTGCTGACGGACAGACCGACAAACTGGCATACCGACATACCGACATACCGACAGTCCGACAAACCAAGTTACTGCTTTATAATGAGAGAGATATCACACATAGGAAGAGTATAGACCATATCGGTCTGAAATTTGACTTCTATCACTCCATATCAGTTCCAATTAGCTGTTGTCACCATCCGTATTACTTATCTGCGATCCAACCACATCCTACATTCCATACTGAAGCAGCAGGTTCACTTTGTCATACGAAAAGGTGCAGTGTATAGTGGCAATATCAACGTTTATCAGTTGTTATTAGTCTTTGTTACGAGCCGACCACGTTCACGACAGATTCAATTTCACTCCTTCAAGTGTCAAACTTTAACTATAAATTTGACGCATACTACCGAAACAAAGGTTCCTGTCTTCTTTAGGTCCTTATTAGCTCTTATCAGCTGCTATCAGACCCTATCAGCTATGATTTCGTCAAAGTCCACATAACTAGGAAAGTGCGAAGGCTTCACTGTTATCTTGAAGGAAAGGGCGTTACGGACTCATTAAGCCTGCCATCTATGGCCATTGGTCAGACCTTAAGACTTGTTCTTAGTCCCTGTCACCAAGCATTCACACACCATACACATACCACATTACACACCAAAGTGTCAAGGTTTCATTGTTGATTGGGAGGGCACAACCTGTTGACAAGTACCTACGATTCAACCATACCCCCATGTCCTACTGAAGGGACAAGATTCCATTGTTGACTGGCGCTTCAGATTCAGTTGCTCTTGCCTTCCTAGGCTCCCTGCCAGTTTCCATTGATTGCCATCCCTTTCTATCGTCTACCAACAGCGTTAGCATCCTGTCTCCTGCATCCCTTCCAAAAACTTGAACACTTCAGATCCTGTTGCACAGGAATCATGAATTCTGGTCACACACATCACACACATACCTACACCATACTACACACGCATACACGCATGCATACACATACGCCACACATACACACATTCATACATACAAAGAGAAACACACACATGCACACACTAGCACACTCGCACTACAAACAGAATAGATACACATACACACATACAAATACAAACTGATATACATATAAACATATACAAATATATACAAATAGATTCACATACACAGATAGACACATACAGATATACGTAGACAAACAGGCACATACACTTACACACATACACACACTCGCAAGCTCGCACATACTAACGCTACTCGTTTTACCTCGATGTTTTGTTAACGGCTGTTATATGGCCGCAGTACGCGTTGCGGAAGTCTCACAAGGTTGGCGATTTATGGACAAAATTTTAATCTCGAACGGGACTCGAACCCGTACTTGGGCTTTCCGGGCACCGAGCAAAACAAATAACATGATAATCAAATAAAAAACAAACATAACAAATAAAAACAAACAAACAGATACATATAGATACGAACATACATTTTATAGATCACATACAATTAGGCACGCATACACACGTTCACCCACATACAATCAGATATACACATTCACACATACACACAGTTTCACCGATACACACATACAAACAGATACAAGCAGACGCACACACACATTCACACACTCGCGCGCTCGCATATACATACAATATTACACACATACACACATACACGCAGTCGCACACCCGCACATACAAACGGACGCAAACACCCGCCCACATAACGCACATACAAAAAGAGATACGCATATACACAAAGGCGAGTAGATACACATACGTGAACACATCACCGCACATCACTTGTACTAACCGTATCACCTGTCGTCCCGTTGATTCCATAGGTTTTCTTGAGCTGGTGCCAGAAATGTCTCCACTCGTCCTGTCGCGAGCCAGAGTGTTCCATGAATCGTCCTTGCTTAAGGGACACGAGGCTCACCATTCATTTTGTCCAGGATTTTCGTGGAGAAGTCTGACCATTGCGTTGGTGGCGTCGTACTTTCCCGGCGTCCTCGTACTCGTTCATCACAATATCGCATGGGGTGCCCATTTTCGATTTATTGACTTAATCAATGTCATCTCTTATCTTGTTTGATGACGAAGATCAGGGATGCTCTTGGTTACATCGAGAAATCGAAGATCACGTGGGACGGACACGTTATGATGATGGAGCTCGGAACTCCAAATTACCTTCTGCACTCATATAGAGAAATTTCGACTCAGAACGACGAAGGGAACTAATCTTTGACCTATGATTGACGAAGCTCCGGCCCTGCGGATGCTCTTTCCAGCCTCGGCGGCTTCGTCTATGACTGCTGCTCTTTTCTCTTTCAGACATTCCTTTAGCGCTAGCCCGTTTAGCTTCGCAAGTTCGGAAGTTTGTTGCTGATGCCAAAGTACAGGCCGGCTCATCAGCTCGAGAGCCTTCAAAGAGAGTCGTCTCTCGGCTATCTGTGGATCCTCTGCTTTCCCAGCACTATCGTGAAGATGTTCCACGAGCAGCTTGTATTGTTCATCGATGTGTTCGATAACAGAATCTTCCCATTCACTTGCAGCGGAAGCGAAGTGATTTCAGTTGATGGAGGTTTTGGGACTTCCTTTTCTAAACTTCATAGCTCTCTCTCCACGGATTTGAGAAACAGAATCTAACGCGGAGGAGACGATGATTCAATCCCGTGTAGGAACCCCGGAGCAAGAGTGATGTCAGCCAGGCAAAACCTCCGATCGAAGTTAATGTGATCTATTTCACTGTGGAAATGTCCACCAATTTCAGGCAAAGCCTTCGATCGAAGTCAACGGGATCTATTTCGTTGTGGAATTGCCCACCAGGTGACTCCCATGTCCATCGAAAATGAGAGGGCTTATGGAACTGCGAGTTGCCATGGGATAGTGACGATCCACATGGTAAACTGGGGCAACCTTTTACCCTTTTCATTTCATTCCATTCCATGAGCCAACCTGGCGTTGAAATCACCGACGATGGCCTTGAATGGAGTATGGTCTTCTTTGGAGGGACTCTAATGATCCATATAAAACGCTTCTAGCTTCTCTTTCTCGTTGCTTGATGATGACGCGTACGCAACGAAGATTGTGGGAGCTAAGTTGAGCCACACGTTTTCGGTCGCAAACCTCCAATCCCGACTGCCAGGCATTTGAAGGAATCGATGTTCATATTCAAGTGCGTGTTGACGAGGGCACACATCCCTCCGACACCTCTAATTTCGCATGTTACAGGAGCGGTTTTTCTCTATTCTCATACACGCGTGCAGCGAGTGTTGCCTTCTTGTCTCGGTGAGTCCGAGGACGCCGCACTTGATTTTCCTAGCATGCATCATCAGGTCGTCTATACACTCTTCCAATGCGATCGTTCGTGCTTTGAAAATACAGATCGGTACCTTGGCCCTTCTCCTTTTAGGTAGCCTGCTACGTGAGATTTTAGCACTCTCCCGAGCAGTCCTACCCAACGCTGCCGTATCTGGGGCTTCAACGGGTTCAGCGAAGTGAGCTTTATATAGCTGTATCTGGCGTAACCGCGAGCAGCTTGCTAGGCTCTAACGTTCATGACTGTGTTAACTTCGAGTGCTACTCAAGCTATTCCGAGGCGAGCGAGGGGCTCGGGTTTTGGAACTGGCCACGAACCGCCTCCCAGTTACTTACTAGTCCCTCGATGCAAGCTTTTGGCTTAGTCGATGGGAAGAATACCAATTGCCCCTATAGACTCTCCACGCACGTATGTGTGGATGAACCCTCTGAGATACGAAAGCTATATCGACCACCACAGCAGAATTGGGGGGTTCATACCCTAAATCTACCTCCGTTTCTGGTCTAGTGCTGACAATTCTGCTCGACGATTTTCTGCCCCACCCGCCACCTGGAGGCGCCTTACTTATGTTAGTCTTGTCGCTAACCGGCTGGGATCCTTCAGTGAGAAAGAGCCCTCAGTGAAGGATATCCGTAGATTCATGCACATACGAACACATGTGCACACATACAAACAGATCTACACACATACTCATACAAGCAGATACAGAGAGGCACTCGCGCACTCGTACTACACAAACGGATAAACACATACACACATACTTACGATACACACACACTAAAACACACACACTAAAAGTTACACACATACATATAAACAAATACACATACATACCCACACATAACCCACATACTAACTGATATACACACAAGTAAGTGCAAACAGACACAAACGCGCATACACATATTCGCGCATTCGCCCGCACACACGCACATACACATATCCACACAAATACGCACACATTTTGACAGATACACGCACTCGAACAGTTACACACATACGCAAATACACCTGCATGAACAGATTCAAATAGATAAACACACACACACAAGCACACATACACTACCGACCCACGCACACATCGACAAAGCCAATATACATACACAGACTGTCCAAGCTAAATTCAATGGTGCGTAAATTAAGCTATTTTTTTAGTATACTATGTGAATTGAATACATCATGTTCTTATCCTGTTAACATCTGGAGCTCGTTCGAAGTTGTGCGGTCTTATATACAAAAATATCCACCAGATTTTTCCATGCTTCATAGCTCGACTACAGTGAAGCTGAAGACACTTTCAGATGGCGCGTAGTGAAGCTGCTCGGATCAGGAGGCTTTGGAGATGTCTATAAAGTTCAAAAAGTGAACAATCCAGACAAGACGGTGAAATGCGTATTTTATAGTACCTGAAAATTCAGGAATGTCATTCGCTCTTTTGTAGGAATCGGCTATGAAAACTGAAATGGTAATTGGTAACAGGCAAATGTTGAGATTAAAAATAGAAGTGGTTGTGCTGATGAAGTGCCACGAGCAGACGGACCCAGATAGAAAAGGCCACTTTGTCGCATTTGTCGACAGAGGGAAAACAGAAAAATTTAAGGCGAGACCCTTCTGAACCGCTGTTGATGGTACATAATGTCTAGTGCTTAATTGTAGTTTCTGGTGATGGGCTTGGTGGGACCATCATTGGAGGACATACGAAAGAAAGACTTGGTGAGGAATTACTCGAAAGCGACGGCAATGCAGTGTTGTATACAGACCATGACAGCCTTACGTGATCTACACGGCATTGGATATTTACATCGGTACGGTCGTCTACACAGTCTACTTTAACTTATTCTTCTATAGACTCTCCTATGAGATTGCCCGAACAGGTATGGAATCTCTACAAGCTTTTCCGCCTCTGAATAAAAACACAATTCGAAAATGAATGAGGCGCTCGTATCGGAAGGTTTGATTTCTTCAGAGTGAAGCTTTTACATAGCTTTGCTATTATGTTATGAGCGATAATGCAACGTACGGATGCCTCAGCCTGGCTGGCTAGCGAAAGGCTGTGTCCTCAGATTCCTTGTTATAGGTTATAAGTTATAAATTATAAGTTTACTACGCCTGCGGAAAGCAAACGAGAGAAAGAAAACAAAACGCAATTTAAATATCAAACATTTGTACAAGTAACCAACACACAATACAATGATAAATTAGTTAGTCATTCAGTCTCAGGAAACGTTGGGACCAGTTCCCTCCAGCAGCAACTTAACTTACTTGGCGTTTGGACTGTGCTAACGATGAAGAGACGGGTATTTTTCCCCACTCCTAGATAATCACTGCTAGCCCTGAAGGTAAGGTACCCGCTCGCAAGTTAGTTTAAGGACGTGCCAACGAAATCTTCGTGGAACCACCCCTAGTCCTCGGAGGGGTCAGTTTGAAGACGTTGGAACCGTGACCACACGTGCCGTGTACAAGTTTGTGAACAATGAACAAAGATACAAAGTTCGAAAACCCTGGTCGCGTTTATAAAGATGTCAGTCCATGATACTGACTTCTGTTAGCTGCCTTCGGTATTCTGGAGTACAAAAAACCACAAATTCGATTGAGCAGCTTATGAGTCAAGTTATTCTAAACCCTTATTCAAGCACGTAGACATGGTTCCTTTTCTTGCTGTTGAAAACCGCAGTGCTGGATTCGACCAGAGTTCGCACATACAACTTGTAAGCACGCAACAGGGCACCTTTATTAGCAAAAGACAGAAATTTTGGAAGGTCCGAAGATTGGCTACTCTGATCTCGTTTTAATGTGCTCCGTGAAGTCCAGCTCGTCGTTGTAGAAAAAGCCGAGGTCTCTGACGGATTGCACGGCAGAACGAAGGATACCATCAACAGTGTTTACTCGCGTTGGTGAAGTAAAGAACGTAGTTGCATGTACACTGTCTAGTGTGGCGCCAGCAAATGCCAATTTTTCGACCAACTCCCCGTTAGATCAAATGCTCTTTGGAGTTCCTGAAAGTTTGCCTCTACTAAGATTGCCTTATAGATTTTTATGTCGTCGGCATACCCTTCGGAGTGACGCCTGCTTCACGAAGCATATCGGCAGGCTCAGCCGTGAAAACATTGAAAAGCACCGGTAACAGTACACCTCCTTGGGGCACACCACTTATTACCCGCCGGACTTTCGAAAAGGACTGACCAATCTCATCTTGAAACGTTCTATTACTCAGATAATCTGAGATCCAATTTGTAATTATCGGGTGGAATTTCAGAACCTTCAGGTTTACAATCAGTTTCTAGTGCGAAACTCTATCGGAAGCTTTGGCAAAGTCGAAGTAAATGACGTTGCAGGAGAGCTTCTCAACAAAAGCTTCTGTACAATCGTCCAGGCACTCGAATATTTGTTTCAAGAGAGAGACTAGGAGTGAAACCATGCTGGTGCCTCGAAAACCATGCTGGTGCCTCGAAACAACGTGTTCAATGGCCAAGTAACGACTGACATGCTCTTTCATGACTTTTTCAAAAAGCCGACAGAAAAGAGACGTAATACTCGCGGGGCGATAATTCTCAGTGTTCCATGATGGCTCTTTCTTCAGTAGCGGAGTAACAAAGAAATTTTTCCAGCGCAAGGGTACCCTCACCGAAGCGTAACGATTGATTAAAAATGTACGCAAGAGGACCACAGATAACAGCGGCTATTCTCTGCACAACAAAAAAGGCACAAAATTAGGGGTGACTGAGGAAGAACCAGGCCATTTCGTGATTAGCTTATACAGCTCACAGGCGATGAACCACGGAACCTCCTTCATTGGTTCAACACACGGCGGAGACCAATCAGGGGCATTTCATCTTCCTGAAAGACGCTCTCGAAATGATCAGCCAACATATAGGCTTTATCTACTGGAGAAAATGCAACAACTTTCTCTCTTCTCAGACAACCGATTGAAGATGAACGAGCGTTACAGATAGAGTGAACAACTGCTGAAAACATTGAGTAATAACTCGTCGCAAACGTAATCCATTCTAATTGATTAACTGCCAATAATTTACACGCTGCATATGTGTAGGTGCGCCGCCTCTTTGAAAGCACAGTTCACGATAGCAATAGCTTGTGAGTTTTCATCCTGGGATTGATTTGTGGCACCCTCGTATACTATATGTGGTGTCTATGTATGTGTCAGGTCGGAAAACGGCCTGGACAGGGGTTATAAGGGCTATATAAAGGACGTTATAGGGGCTTCGAGGTTGTATACGGTGAGTCCCGCACCCACATAGGAAGCTTAAACAACTTGTCGAGATCCATGGCGACAGTAGAAGGTAGGTTGAACAACTCTGGATTGATGAAGTCAGCTCTTTGCGTAATTGCAAAACTGTCCAAATACCCTTTCATAACGTTTCTATCATGGTGATCTCGAACAACCTTTATTCCCACTACTTTTAGAGAGCTTTTTCTCCCAAAATCAACTGACTTTCTCGCTTTCTCAGCTACTGGTGTACCCTCTCCAACCAATACTTTCGAAATGCAAAGTCGGAGTATCCAGAGAATTGGGGGGCATAAGTAGCAAAACTTGGGGTGAGACGAGGATGTGCCCGCAAAAGTTGCATGAAATGGTATCCTAAATATGTGTGCCGTTGCATACAGATGGCTGCAGTGATTACAGTAAACTGCCTACGTGCCACGTGTGCCCCGGGTTCGAATGGTGCAACCAACACAGCTTCACCAACGCTTGAAAACTCATCCGCTTTTGGGCGCGCACCTCGGCTGAGCCGATCTCAAGGCCACTGATGCCCTTATCTAGAACTTTTTCGATCCGACAGCGCTCTGGCGCTATTCTTGGGGTTACAGGTTCATCCTGGGGAAGCTCTTAAAAACCATATGTATTGTGAAATGTGCCTTCAAAAGTAAATATTGAGCATATACCCTGCCTACATTTGATGTTCTAGTTACAAGGGCTTCCTTTCGAATCTTTCTTCTGAAATAAAGACCCGAAGCGGCACAATTGATCGCGTTGAACTTCGTCATTGGTACGGAAAATATCGGGAGATAGGTCACTTTCTCTTTGCAGATTACTAAGAAATTCGATAGACGACAAAATTCCCACTGGTGGAACAGCACATCAGATCCTTCCTTCGGAGGTGAAAATTGCGATTGCGAGTATGAAAAGAGGCACTACTCTAGGTCGACCTACTCCATGCAGGTGCTCACGAACTTCGTGCGTTTCTCGCAACACGCAGGAAATACTACCTCTAGAAGGAAAAGATCCCCAACCAGTTGGGTGTGCTTCACGAGTCGTTCATGAAGATCATTCCATCAACCCGCATATCGCGATTGTTGGATGATGCACAAGCTGTGCAGCAGGCGGAAGAAATTCAGCTGCTTAGACCACATTCAAGCGGTCGCAACGGTTATCGGAGTGCTAAACTCAGTAATACAGGAAAGAACGTGAGGCTGTGGATCAACCAAACAAAGACACAGTTCATGAAGAATGCTTGGAATTACGAAGGTCAATTAAGATCGATAGTACACCAATCGAGGAGACCTGTCTTACGTTTATCTCGGACGTTCCATGAACATGGACGCGACATGAAGGGAGGAAGGAAAACTGGTGACAGAGAGAAAGCAGCGTGGGCAGTTTTCGGAGCTATGACAAAAGTCACGAATCTGTTCTTTCTGCGCTCTGCTACGCGTCGGTGGCTCGGATGACCAGTGCATCCACGTCAGGGCCTGAACATAAGTCACAGAGCACTCGGGAGATGTCTTTTGAGGTTTAACCATCTCACTCAACATCGCACCGGAGTCCGCAGCCCCGATATGACAGAATGCCTCGCCTTCGTGAATACATAAGGAACGCCAAACTTCGGTGGGCCGATCATATCATGAGAAGAGATTATAAAAGGGAAACAGGATGAACATTTCAGTGATCTCCCATAGAATCTTCACGAACTAAGGGTACGTCTGCTGCGAGAAGGGGAGATGTTCTCATCACGTAAAACAGCTGCGAATGCAGCGGACCGACTCCACACAACGTCATCTTCGTCGGATTCTTCTTCTACCGTGGATGGCGATCACGATAGACAGATGCAAATGCTTTGTTATTGGTGCTCGCCCATGAATGAAGACGAGCAGTGTAAATAGGTTTATAATCAGTAAGGGTATTCTCAATTACCAGCGAGGGCGGTTCGTATGGGAGGATAAAAGCACTGATTTGCTCATCAGCTGGACTCTGCAAGATACTGTATAGACCAGGTATAGGCCAAATATCCACACACCACTTCAATTCTTAATAGAAGTCGAATGCAGAGTGCTCATCTCAAAGAGGGACTGATTATGCCAGAAGCACTGTCTCCTTTTTACTATTATTATAAATTGATGGGGTAAGCCTAACAAAGAAGATGAAAACAAGACCTCCCAGTCTTATTTCTTGTAGAGATATAAAACCACAAAACTATGCCATCGGACTAGGTCCAAAAGAATCAACCATTTATATGCTCGATTTCGGAATTGCGAGAAAATTCACGGAAGGAGAAACCAAGAAAGTGAAGTAAGTTGTGCGGGTCATAGACAATATTTCTACAGTAACTGAATACACTCAATCGTCCAGATTACCACGAATCAAGGTGCATTTTCTCGGAACTTTGAGATTTGCATCACGGGCATGCCACAAGCAAATAGAGCAGGGACGCAAAGACGATCTGGAATGCTGGCTGTATATGGTAGTTCTTAAAAAAATTGTTAAGGGCTAGCACCTCGCCCTTACCTTACTTTTTTCACAGACATGAACAATTGACTTGGCCACTGCCTTTTGAATGGGATCATATTTCAGTGTTTTGACTTATTTGATGACGACAAGGGCTTGCCATGGAAACGATGTGAACGCAATGAAATACTTGCAATGAAACAAAAGTTCTTCAAACTGGAAAGTGCGTAGAACCACATCGTAGCCTGTGTGTCTTTTTTTCTATGAATATATTGCAGTTCCTTCTTGCTATGGGATAGTTCCAGAAGATTTCAAGCGAATTGTTCAATACATTGATGGGCTGAACTACGCCGATGAGCCCGATTATGTGTCAGTAATGAGGTTTCCATCTTTCGAACGAGCAGATCTCCAGCAAGGCTCACTGAAAGTGGGCAATTTGAAGAAAGGGGGACACAGATATCATAAAGCTGGAAAAAATTGCAGGTATCTTCGGAATTCTCTAGCAGCTATTGCCAAAGAGTCCAGGGTTGACTTCAACAAACCACTTGATTGGATCGGTATAACTACCAAGAAGAGAGAAAAGCCGAAATCGGGAGTAAGCTTTTTCCCAAAATCAGTACTTGCGATACGCGTTATTTATAAGTGAAGAGACTGCCTTCACAGGATGGGTAGAGAGATTGCTGAAAAGACAATATCAAGCACGATAAATAACGTAACGTGGGAATCCCACCTTTATTGTGATAGTAGGGATAGCCCCAGAAGGTTAGAGCTCATAATAGCAAGTAATTCATCGCGTTATGTTGCACAACTGCGGATTGATCACCCTGACCCTCATTTTACATTGAATTGGGGATACCATAAACCCTGCCCTTTGATACAAAAAAAAANAAAAAAAAACTGTCGACGTTTTCCAATTTTTAACTGATTGAATGCAATTTTGCAGAGCGACGAGACATCTACTGACAATAAACAAGAGGAGACTGGTTCAGGAGAAAAAGAGGAAGAATCGAAAGGGAGGAGCAGATTGTATGTGTTGTATTGTTTTTGATGTATTAATAATTACAAATCCAAAACGGCGAAGGTGATGATCATAGCTGCAAGGTATTTTCTTGCAGAATCAGATCTAATAAGGCGCACCACTGCTTGCGATGCTCACTCTCCAAGCGTTAAACAGCTTTTGGCTGTTGCGCTCTTTGGGCCCTGAAATTGACAGGGAATACGGTTCATAAACACTGTTCGTCCCAATTTACCCCGTATCCTGCGGCCCACAGGAGAATTTTCGAATGACTTGTACACCACGACGCTCACTTGGAGCTTTAGATGCCCTTCTGCACAAGATGGTAAGTATACATACATATACATACATATATACATTGTTACATAAGTTCAGCAAAGGCAGTCACATTGGTACATTCACTGGTAGTCGGGAAAGTCTTTGCACACTTTGCAATTTTTTTCGAATTATTTTTTTACAACAGATAACAATCAATAAATATATGCACCTTCATTATCGACGGGGTGTTGTCGTTTTGTTAGGTGTTGATCCCGCTTGCATTGAATCCCTGAGGTTTCATGGAGAAAACTTCCCGAGGTACTCTCGAGTTCGTCTACATCATCAAAGTTCTTATTTTTGAAATGGTTCAATAGCGACAGGAAGAGGTTATACTCTGCTGGAACCGGCCCTGTGAATACGGTGGATGGGTCAGAACATGCTATACTCAGCTTTGAAGTTTCTTCCGGGCCTTGTTCACAATGTGTTGGCGAGCATTGTTGTGGAGAAAGCAGATTTCCCACCGCTATCCCGTAAAGCTGCAGCAACGCGATTCATCAAGGTTGGTTTGGCATCGGCGCTGAATTTGGTGGCAGGAAGTCTTAGTGAGCGATACTTTCAAATGCCTTCAAACGCTGAGGATTGCTTTCTAATTTTGAAGTTCTGCTTTGGGGATGTGGATTCCATGCTCTACGCGTCCAAGCCACTAACCCTTCCTCTGTGGTTTATGTATGGAACACACTTCTCGTCGCCGGTGAATAGGCCTTCTAGCCATGCGAAGGTGCGTCGTAAAAACCAGCAAGTTCAGGAATCTCTCCTCATTTGGAGGTTGTGACCACCCAGCTCACAACATATCCATACTCCTTATCTCCATCTCTTTCCGAGTCAATACAAATGGGAGGTTACTATGTCGCGATGGCTACTGACCTCTTGTTTCAGCTCACGGGTACCACGCCTTGAATACTCCTCAGCCAGCCTCAGCAGGTGGTCACCTTTCAGCCAGCTGATATTGCAGGTCTTGGTTTTTCGGTCCATTCAAACGGCCATTTTACGAACTTTTAGTACCAATTCCGTGATGTGGTGTAAATGGCAAAGAAGGGACCCAATGGTCGCACTATTTGGACCGACGTTTTTCCTGAACTTATATAGCAGAACCAGCCTAAATTGCTTCGAGTCTAGAGAGATTCTTCCAACCATAACCGTTGCGATTGCAGCGGTAGATATGCGAGAGTGCAGTGACCGGGTAAAGGAACTTCTCCCCGAACTCCCACGGCCTGTGGCAGTGGCTCCGCGGCGACTCTACGCATCTTCCACTGGGAATTCGAATCCTTCCCTTCATAATCTGCACTCATGTGCGGCGAGCACGACACGCCGTTCGTGGAGAAGATACCAGATCCGCAGTGACCTGCACGAACAGATGTTCCTCAATGAACGTTCTGAAGCACTCCCCAAAGATTTCACAACATGAACATGAAAGTGTGCAAGAATTTTTCCGACAACCAGGCAACGGGCTAAGTGCCTCACAGTGAGTGCGAGCCCTGTACCATGCCGCTGATGATTCAAGATCGGGAGGTAGCTAAAAGTTTCCTCCCAATTTTCAAATAAATCTTATATGGGAGCATTATCTCATTTCTGGGAGGCTGACTTTCACTGACATATGCTAAGCGTGACGGCTACCAAAATAGGAGCATCACATGATTGCTCTAACCATCACTTGCGAACTTCGATGTGTTTCTTTTCAGCAAAAGTTCTCGACAAAGAAGGCGCTGATGTGCACATATTTCGGTGCAAAATTTTCAATGTAAGTTCATTAAGATGATGAAATGTACCATCTGCTTGTCTGTGCCCCCTTACCGAAATAGTTTTCTATGGTGTAAAGCCGAGTTCGGTTAACCTGTATGATGTGGATTCCCTCATAAGATCAGATAGGGCTGGAAACTAGTCGGTATTCGCGGGAAATTATTTCGGGAATAGCCACCCCGGTGAGAAGCTAAGGCAAACTAAAAAAAAGTTTTTCAATTAGTTGCCAGTCACCTATGATAAATATCGGTTAGAGCACGCCGTGCTAAGATCGAGTGCTGTCTAAGATTGTCCAACAAAGGGGTTCCTATCAGATTTGGTAGCCAGAGGTTCGTTCTAGATCAGAAGAAGCACGAGCAAGGGATCAACCCCATATGTAGTCGAGTACAGTGACTTTATTTCTCCAATCACTCTGGTAACACGGGCATAACGATATCGAATCAAAACCACAAGAAGCAGTAAACAGACTTTATAAAAACAAATAAATATTGCTTACTTGAAATGATTTTTGTGGTTAAGGACCACTTCCTCCGTGTATTCGTTGACAACTAGAATGTGACGTACGATGCGATATCAAAAGTATTTGACGTGCACACTTGAATAAAAGATAATCTCGTTTTGCTTGACTGTTTGAGTTGTATGAGCAAGTTGGAAAATGATGGATCACTCAGTAGTGAAGGATATAAAGTCAACGAACTTATAGAATAATCGCAAGCAGGCCTTATTCCGCTCAGAGACCTTAATAGTGCGAGCGGTTTGGAGGTGAACAACTCGAAGCACTGCTTCTTTTGCTCCTTCTAAAGATGTCGAGGAAAGAGTTACAAGAGCTCTTCTTTTCTTTTCGCGAAATGAGCCAGGGTTACACGCATGATTTGCTCTGATCAAATAACTCGAAGACGATTAAATCTACTAATGATTCACTTCAACAAATACAGACATACGGTACACATTCTCAACGAGAACTTGAACTAGCAACAACGTTCCACCGAGCCAATTTCCAATCCGAGCTTATGTACGCATATTGTGTTCGAGGTAGGGTTATACGAGTGGCTGAGAGAGGGGTCCGGTATATTCTTCCCGAAAGCGACGTCGCACTAGCAGTACGCAATCGCGCGCATTCGCGCACAATAAGGGGGAAGGTGCGAATTTCTTGTGAAAGGATAGAGCAGAAGTCGCGTGATCACTACCGTTTGCCGTGGGAATCCGGGGAAAACTTCCATCACGCGGAAAACCCCGTCACGACAAAAAAATTACGCTGCGTCTGCCAATACGTTACTCTAGCAGGAAGCGCCCAATTTGAATACAACGGAACAGAGACCGATTGAAGTAAGGTCGCCACACCAGAGGTCCGTGAAAGGTCTGCTCCATTTTCAAAGGAATTGACGGTGGCTTACAGAAGGTTCACACTTGATTCGATTTTGTACACTGAAACACTGAAAGGTTATATGCATAAGAAGGAAAACAAGAGATCATGCACTTCTGTGGAAGGTCTATTCTAGCAAACATCGCTATCGAGCTGTCAAGAAAGAAGGAGTTAGAGCGAAACGGAATTACGGTTGCCGAAGCTGCTAGTCCATAAAGAAAACGACTTGAAAAACCAAGAAAAATCCATCTAATCCAGCCAGTCCAAAATTCCAAGCTCTGAAAGTCCAACGCACTACCAACTGAGCTAACTCCAATGCGACAGCAACAGCGACGAAACCATTTTTCTTCATGAACTGTTGAATGAAAAACCAATCTCCTATCCTTACTCTATATAATCCACAAGTACGGTGGGTCTGTCTGTCTGTCTGTCTGTCTGTCTGTCTGTCTATCTGTCTGTCTGTCTGTCTGTCTGTCTGTCTGTGTGTATGTATGTATGTATGTATGTATGTATGTATGTATGTATGTATGTATGTATGTATGTATGTATGTATGTATGTATGTATGTATGTATGTATGTATGT